AGGAAGATAAACTTCACCTAAACGCCTAAAAAATAAAAACAAACACTGGAAATATATTTAGGATTCAGATGAGAAAAATTCTAGTCAGCTTAAGGGCAAGATATTTTAAATGGAAAAAAAAGTTCCACATAGATTTTAATCCTGGATTAATTATTTTAGACAGTCTCCATACTAATTATAGCAGCATTGCTTCTTTCATAAGTTCTTTATCTACTTTCTTTGAGTAAAGCTATTTCATACTGGAGATTGCGGAAAACATTTGTTCATGATTATCCAGACGTACACTGGAACAAGACTGCAACAAGAGCAGCATGCAAAAATGTATTTAAGGACTATCATCCCAAAATGCTGCTAAAAGCTATTAACCAGTACGTGTTAATTGCCACAGCATTCATATTAATTTTCACTTCAGGCCCGACATTGTGGAATATTTCCCCTGATACATTTTAAACAAAGTTTAATTTAAGGAACTGCTTCTATCAACACTTATGAAAATTAACAGCCAAGCAATTAGCACTCATGAATTATCCCCTCCCCCACACTTTCTACAGCATCATTGTTAAATCAGTTGCTAAGACGAGAAATTGTTGCATATAAGTTAGCAAAATCCACCACGAAAAAACCTGTAATGCGGTAGAGTTACCATTCCTTGCAGGAGAATTTTTAGCATCTGCCCAGCCAAAAATTACATTAACCTATTTTAATTTAAATTATCTCTAATAGCCGAGTGAATGCACAAGGCCCCAACGAAGACCTTGGAGATTTCCTTAAATCTTGATTTTCAATTTCTAATTATGAAAATAGGAGCAAAACCATCCTGAAGACAAGTGTTCTGGCTGCACGCTGGAAAGGCCCTCGGCCCCGCGCACCAAGCGCTCGAGGGCGGCACAATCCCCCTTCCCTCCTTTGGAACCGCTATCTCCAGCTGCTGGCTTGGACCCACCATTGTCAGCCGCTTTGCCTCCTTTCATCGCCCAGTCACACTCTATTCACATTCTTGTGCGGGTCTAAGAATGGTCGTTTGGTGACAGACATCTCAAAAACATCTTGTCAGTTTGGTTTTATGATGAAAATTTCCTAAAATTAGCAGGTACTTGGGAGGTAAAAATGGATGCGGACAGACCTCAGCGATTCTAAAGAGAACTCAAATGAGTTACTCATTCAGGATGTGCTTCCTACAAAGAATTTTTTGATTTTCCTCTATTCCAGTAACAAAAAAAATACCTTGATAACATTTCCTTACTAGTGGGAATGGTCATGCAGAGGAATAGCTTTGACACTAATACTGTATTAAATCAGTACCCTTTAGGATTGGTATCTCAGAGGAAACCCATCATCATGCTCTCCAGCAGCTCACACATGCCACAATCGCAATTCGCAAAAGCATATTTTGATTTTCTACAGAATGAAGAGATAATAAATGCTTTTCAAGCAATTAGAGAAGGCAGGCAAGTAACATCAGCCCCATTTTCTGAATTCAAAAACAAGGGAGCAGAAGGTTTCAGGTTTGATTCTGCAGCAAAGCTTAACCACTAGGAATTAGCAGTTGCTAAAACCCTTTTCCAGGAGCAGGCGCCTCTTGCAGATCAACCGTGCTGCTGCAAGGAGCCAGCCCTTCCCTCCCTTTGCGGTGCCCGACCACGACTTTCCAATCTGCCAGGTCAGGTCCAGGAGGTCAGGATTATTTCTCAGTCTTACCAACACCCTGCAATAAACCCTCAAAATATGATTTTTCAGATCTGGTAATGGAAGTAAATGTGAACCTACCTATAAAACGTATTTCAAGAAAAAATAATTGTTGTTCTTTCATCTGCCTAGCAATTTGGCCACTAATTCATTAGGCTTTCAAATAATTTTCTCTACAAATGACAACTGGAGTGATTACAATCACAAATACAGAGTCTTCTTTTGATACGGTATCTCCAGCAAGAGTTTCCCAGATGTCATTAGCCAAGACGTACAACCTTCTTATAAAACATGGAAACAGCTAGGAGCAGAGCTATCCCCTGAAGCTATTTCAAGGAAAAGCTTAACGACAGGGACAACATTAGTTACTAAACACAAGTCCTGGCGGGGTTTTCACAACGGTAGTTTTACAACATACACAAGAGCTGCAAGTCGGTCCTGCTCGCACCCTTGTGTGAGAAGATTCACCAAATTCGGGAGCTCATCAGAATGCATCCACTGCAGCTGCATTTCACAAGCCATATTCTCTACTTTTTTGATAATTAATGAACTGATCAGAACAGCAAGAAATTAGAGCACTTTAAAATTTTATTATTTCATAAAATTGTAGAAGTGGCCATGAAAAAGACACTAAATCTGGCAGAACACACCTGAAAGATGTAAGCTTTTCAAAAACTGGTTCGGCTGGCATTAGGGCATGCAATGCTCTCTTATTTTTACCCGATTAACTTAAAACAAGACATCAAGGTGTGCTGAATAACTGGCCGTCTCCCTTCAGGTGGGTTAAGGAGCCGCGCCAGCAGCGAGCGGAGCAGCCGGGACGCAGCTAGGACGGGCGCTCGGAACAGCCCGGAAAGGGCTTTCCTGGTGCTGGATCGGGGCCACAACATGTGGTACTCGACCAGCCCAGAACCCGTGTCACAATCCTCAAGTATACATAAAACCAAAGCCTTGTTATAACTGCAAAGATTCCAGAGACACGGTGATCCCTTGAGCAAATACATAATCAAGGGCTTCTTTTTTCTTTCCAAGACATGGTTAATTAGGCCCCTAGCCCCTCCTTATCCCCCGCCTCTTCCCAATTATGGGCCATTTCCCCAAGAGACACAGGGCTCTCAATTATGTAAATAAGCCATGCACTATTTCCAGAAAAATATTGTATTTATGTGAAAAACATGGCTCACCTCTTATCAATAAAGAAATACAAGAGCTCTACAATACTGTGACAACTACAATATTTCATTATGTATGGATTTTCATTTTACATTATTGTCTGAAAAATATAGCAAAACTGAGGTACATAAAATTACTCACTACTGAGCTATAACATTTCTTCTATAGATTAGTGAGCAGGTATTTAAAACCTAGGCTATACATATAGAAGTCTGGAGAATAAGTTTTTATAGTCACACTGACAAACTTATAACAGTATTTTTTTATATTATTTTGGTAACTAATATAGTCTGTATTCCCCAACAAAATGGCAGTTTAATTATTTTGTAGAGTTAGTTGAACAGGTATTTTGATTTCTAAATCACATTAATGTTGATTCATATCATACCCCACAAATCACAAAGTTGTCACTGAATAACATACGGGATATTTCATTAAAATCTGAAGCTAATTCATACATTACAATTTCCTTCAAATGGAACAAACACCTGCTAAAAGCATCAGACTTAGAAACACGCAAATTAAGATGTATGAGTTTTAGTAGACTGTAATGAGCTAACACAGTAAAAAGCAATTTGGATTATAAAAGTGGGAAGGAACCACTCGGAAGTTTCTCAAAAGCTAAGAAAAATTCTAACTGGAAACCCAAATCATGCTCAGATACTACAGCTACGAAACCTGGATACCACTGAACTAACATATATTTCTCTAATAAAAATATTAATTACTTCCCCCACGTGTGACTGCTGGAAGTACATCTGAACATTGGCAAGACCAAAATTTCGTTACACAAGAACAGCAGGATATAGGTTTACTAAGAGGGCACCAGAGTGTTGTCCGCATCAAAACATTGCTGGCATTTATTATTGAGGCCTGAGATTCTCTAATTCCTGCGTACTACTAAGCATAAAATAAGAATAGAGGCAGCTTTGCTATGTGGACTTCATGGTCTAAAAGATACCGTCTCATAAATATTTAGAATATTTTAAGATGTTCTAGTGGAATTACATATCTCACTTTCCACTTTAAGAATACTTAACAGAATATGAAATTCTTCCATCAGAATGGTAATGAAGCTCAAACTTCCTACTCCCACAGGAGACTCTCAAACCAGCCTGGCAGAAAGCAGAACTGTGCAGGGTTTGTAATTGTTTCAGAACAACATGACACTGATTCATCATGCTGCTGTTTAGATTTTAGTTTCTAGGGTCTATGGGAAAAAAGGCGCCAATACAGAGCATCTAGAAGGTACACAAGGAGAGATAATTAGCGACAATTCTGACTAATATCAAGAGGAGGTTCTTGAAATGAAGGCAGTCAGAAACATTTAACCCCCCAGGTCTGCAGTAAACCTCCTCTACCTGAAAGAGCACTTCCACAGTACTACATTAGCGCATGGGGGCAGAAGTGGCAATGCCCAGCGAGAATGGATGACGTTTTTAAACTGTGTGGTCTGCCAGATGGCTATCAGGTAAGGGGGGGATAAATAAAGAGACTATTTTGATTGCTTTAGTTTTGTGCTTCTTGGGGCATTAACTCTCTTTCACATTATAGCATGGAATTTTTGAACAGGTTAATTCGTTTGTCACAAGCTTAGCTTGTTTGTCACAAGCCTAAAATATGTTTATATCACTGGCACGACTATTGAAATCAGCATCTATGGGGAGATATAAAATGCAAATAGTTTGATAGCCAACTTAAATCCTACAGTATTCTTGCCTGGCCTCTAGAAATGCAGGATGAAAAAAAGCACAGCGTTAGGAGATCAAGCAGACACGTTCTAGGATTCAAGTTCTCATTTCATGTGTTTCTGTCTAGTAAAGAGCCTGTATAACCACCCTACCAGAGAACGGAACAGAACTAGTGTTAAGGCATATTTTAGTAATGAGACATGGAATGTGCACCTTCCTTTTGCCGATGGATTAAAAAAAAGAGATGCCCTCATTTCTGTTGAACCTGGAACCATTATATTTAAGAAATGCATGATTCTAGATAACCATGTTAGAGTAACTGAGGGGTTGCTATAAAGCCTAACTAAAGCTTAAACAAGTAAACGTACCTGAGAACTGCCAGCAGTCTGTCATCTCCAGGTCAAGGAGCACCTGGACATGAGAAGAAGAGAATACCTATGGTTCACTTACCTTGCCATCAAATTTGGAGTACTCATTGAAAGGGTTATTCAGCTGCAGTGGACACTGTTCGAGGCGCACAGACAGTATCGACGGCTTCCCAGAACACGGAGATTTTACTCTGAAGTTCTTTTTTTCAAATAGTGAGCTCAGCTCCTCTGCTGCAATTCAGAAAAGAAGTGAAGTGTATTTGCATTATGAGATGTACAGAAGCTATTCTTTATCACAGAAAGATTACAGATTATAAGGGAGAGATAAAAACATATAAAACAGTAAATACTTTAATATAACCTACCATCACTGTGTTTAATAGACCACGAGTAAGAAAACAGTGAGTTTGAATGATGCACTGTCTCTGCTGAGACAACGAAGCAGCTTTAGCTATGCAGAGAGACCTGGAGCTGAGCACTGCAAGATCCACCTGAGGCAAGATCGCATCGAGTTACAGGAAGAAAATTGGGCAGCTCTGGTCTTTCTGCTGCCTTTTTATCTATGAAAGAAATCTAGGCAAAAGAACAGCTGTCACTTTTTCAACACACAACAGCATCTCCTGATGCTGTTCATCCCGAGCTTTCCACGCGCTTCTTGGAGCGCAGCGCACATCACGCCGCTCCATCACCGCACTGCGCAGTCCCTGTGCTGGTAGCGAGCAGGTAGGAACCACGGCTGATCAAAGAGGGATTCCTGCGTGTTCTCCTTCTCACACTCACGCTGGATACAGTCTTCTTTTAAAAATGCAACCAGCCTGAAAGCACCGTTGCAGACAAATATTCTAGACAATCAGAAATCTTCATAAAAGCAAATTTCATAACAGTCAATGAGTCTGTGGGGCCTGTGAAGCCCGGTAAGCCTCTGTCATGAAGCTCTTTTAACACGATGAGATCGGAGAGGTGGATTGAGCAGTGTACAGGCACACTTCACAAAAAAGAACAAAACGCACGGATGCTGCAAAATTAGGACAGAGCCTGGAGGGCTTTGGCCCACCAGCACCAACAGGTCTCCCCTGCACAAGGCTGCGAGGGAGCGTGGAGAGGCGAGCGGCACGAGAGCCC